GAAAGGAGGGGAGGCAAAGCTGGGGGGCGGAAGCGGCTCCCGGGACACAGGCTGGGCGGCTCAGTGCCCAAGGTAGGCTGTTGTAGAGGGCGGGTGCGAGCCCTACGCCCTCCAGGAACAGAGGCGAGCTGCAGAGGGCGAGACGGCAAGGAGCAGCCTGCCAGGTCCCCTCTCTACCCCGCCGCCCCCTGCGCAGGGGGCGCGTCTCCGCTCCCTCCGCCTCCACGCCCCAGGCTGAGGCCTGGCTCCCCTCCCCCAGGTCCCCAGCCCGCAGCAAGGGGGCAGGGCGGGGGTCCTTACCTCGGCGTGGACTTCTGCGTCCTCAGCCGCTACGCCGCGGCCCAGGCAGCCCAGAAACACGAGTAGGAGCGGCAGCACTCGCGGCCGCGCCGCCGCCTCCCGGCCGCTGAGGAGACCACCAGTCCAGCCCGGCCGTCCGGGCGCGCTCCTGTCGCTGCCCATGCTCTCGGCGCCCAGCCCGGCCCGAGGCGCCGCACGCTGAGTTGGCTCGCTCGCGGACGCCCGGGTCTCGCACGCGCCTCGGAAACTTGCGACGCTCCCTGGCTCCCGGCCCTCCGGGGGCGCGGCGCACCTCTGGCTCCGGGTGCCCGCCGGAGCCGCTCAGATCTCCTCGGCAAATTCCCAAGCCCGAGGAGAAGCGGGCAGGGCAGGTCCGGGGGCGCGGAGCCCGCCGGCGGGAGAGGGGGCCGGCTGGAGCTGCCCGCCGCGGGGTCCCGCAGCCTCGGCGCCCCGCGCTCGGGGCCCGGCCCCCGAGAGCAGGCGCAACTCCTGAGCCTTTGTCTGGCTCAGCGCTCCGGCCGCCCGGTCCCGCGGCGCCCCCTGCGCGCCCAGCTCCCTCTGTCCATGCCCGGGGCCGGGCGCTGCCCGGAGCGCGCGCCTCCTGCCCGGGGACTCTGCTCGCCGCCGCGCCCCGCCGGGCCCGGAGCCCCACGCAGTCCCGGGAGGAGGCGCAGGGAGCCGGCCCGAGCGAGCAGGCGAGCGAGCCAGGGAGCGGGCGCCCGACGTCCCCGGCGAGTTCGGCGCGGCTGCGGGCGCTCCCAGCACTCCTCCCCGCGCGCCGCGGCCGCCGCCGCTCTTAAAGGGCCAGCGCGCTCCCTGCGCGCGGACCCCGGCGGGGGCCGGGGGCGGTACCCCAGCCTGGGGTTTCCTCGGAGCAGGTGCTGGCGGGGGAGCCCTGGCAGGTGGGTGGCTCTTTTACTCTTCTCTAACAGCGGGAAACCTCCCAGCCCGCCCCGCATCACTCCCAACCCTGCTTCTGGGGGGCGGGGGTGACCTCCAGCGCGACTCCCCGCGGAGGGAGGAGGCGAGGAAGGCGTGGTCTCCCTGCGGGGGAGGGATGAAGACTCCTCCTTCTTCTACCTGGTGCGTGGGGGGGATACTGAGGCAGAGGCGGGCGGGAAGGAGGTGTTGGAGGAGGGACCCAAGTGTCCGGTTTTAGGTTAAAAAGGAAAAATGTGGAAATTTGTCAGCCCGAACCCTCTTTTCAAAAACCTGAGGGTGTCTTTGGCCCTTCAGAAACTTTCCTCAGTCGCAAAACGAGGGGTTGGCGCCTCGAGGGTGCAGTGGGGCGGCCAGAGCTCAGGTTTACGAGGGACGAGGTTCGAGTCCAAGGCTGCCCCTTGGCTGCGGCTTAGACGTGGGCGAATTACTTAATCTTTCTGAGCCTCCGTGTCCTTATCTAAAATGTGGGGCGAAGCGTTGGGGTGAGGGTCAGGTAAGGCTTCCCGTTCCTGGCCTGGCACAGAGTAAGTGTGCAACCACTTTGGCCACTGTTCCGTGCACGTGAAGTGCGACAGTGCGGCTCGACCAGGCGCGGGCGGGCGGGCAAACCTTCCCGCGAGCTTAACGAGCTGGGTTCAATTCTAGGGCAGAAGCAGCTTGAGATGGGGTCGGTGTGGACGCTGGAGGCCCGCGCTGGGAGGCCGGGTCGGAGGTCCGCCGAGCATGGGCTGGGCGTCCAGGCCAAGGGCAACCCTGGCGCGGCGGCCTGGCCGGCGGGGTCAGGGGCGGGGGGCGGAGACCTGCCCTCCTCTCTTCAGCCCCGGAAACGGACACTTTCCATACCTGAGGGCCGTTTCTCCGGAGTAGGCCCTCCGCTCACCCAGCCGGCCTCACCTCCGGAAATCGGATATCAGAGCTGGCAGGACGCCTTAGAGATGGCCTGTTTGAGCCGACCTGCCAGGTGGAGACAGGCCGGGGGACGGTCCCTGGTGCTTGGCAGAGCTTCCTGGGGGAAAAGAAGTCGGAGTTTGGAGAAAAGGTGGGTCAATTTCATCCATTTCCACGGACTAACTTCTCTGTGGGGGCGCCTCACCTGGGAAAAGGGCTTCTAAATTCTCTACTTTGAAATTTGCTTTTGGGACATGTGCAGTGGTCTTCAGAAACGGACAGCAGGGTTGTCGCACTGCATTCTTTCACAATGTCTATTCCCGATCTGCTAATTTTGAAAAAAGTTTGTGTTTATGTGGATGCCTAGTAAGGAGAGGAGCCCAGGAACCCTGAGCAACCGTCTTAAGAGGCCTGTGGTGGGACAGGCCTGGTGATTGTTTTTTCTCTGGAGATTCCTCTCTTGGGTCAATCTGCCTTAAGAAAATGACATCCCCTGTGACCAGATCTTGTGGCTCCCAGTTACTGGTTCTGGCTGCTGCAGGTACTTCGGGGCTCCAAGGTGGGTTTGTGCATCCACCTGTCGCAAGTTGACGGAGTCCCTACCAGGTCTGGCCAGTACCCAAGGGCTGAGGGGACCAGTGGGACTGAGCTGTGTGGACTCCCAACGAGCTTTTACCATTATCCACATTTTCCCAATATTGTTTCATCTATATCCCGACAACCCTCCCCCTGCCCCCTCACCCCAGATTTTTTTCTTGGAGTCTTTCGAGTTAAAAACCAGACATGGCGTTTCAGAGCAGTTTCATTTTGAGATTCCGTTGTGGTGGGAGGGGTTGTACACAAAGCTCTGGATTAGAAGCCAGGTCACTGGGTTCCTGCCCCAGCACAAATTATTTACAGGGCGGCCTGGAGCAAGTTATTGCCTCTTTCGGTTTGTTTCCTCATTTGCAAAAGGAGCTTTCTGATTCAGGTAGTAGCGAGGTCTCTTGTTCCGTGAAGGAAAGTTGCTGTGGGCTGGAGCTAGGCCGGGGACACCCCCTCCCCCAGCTGCCCCTCCAGGGGCCCCTCAGGCGGTGCACCAGACACACCATCAAAGGTGAGGCAGGCCTTGGGACTGTTGGTGCCAAGACAAGGGAAGAATAAACAAGCAAGCCAAGGTAATTTCCCTCTCCCTTAGAAACAAAGCTGGGGTGGTCTGGAGAGGCTGGAGAGTGCCAGGTGGAAATCGGCCAAATTGGCTGTGAGATGATCATTTCCCTGCCCTGCAGGGAACATCTGAGGACACTGAGGCCAGATGTGTTGATTTTGTACTCTCCCTGGTGTGATAAAATCCCCATCAAGAGCATTTCTTTGCACGCCAGCCTGCCTGGGGGGGACCCCAGCCTGCTCCAGTCTTCCCTCTGTCTCTGGAGTTGTCTCCCGGCTTTCTCAGAGCACATCTCCTCTTATGGAAGAGCCCCAGCTGCTTCTGCACTGTCAGCGGGAGCGCTCGCTGGACCGCTGTGCTCCAGAGGCGCACTCAGTGTCTGGGTGCCCGCCAAGCCTGGCTGCCTGGCCTCCTCGGGCCCAGCCTGCCTCCCCCTCCCCCTCCGCGAATCTCCTACTTCCTCCATTGCCACCTTCCATTCTCCAACTGAAGCGTTATTGATCTTGGCCCATTTCTCAAAGTTGCCGCACTCTAATTCCATCCTCAGCACAGACGGACTCCCTGAGCCACATCCTCCCCCAGGGGAATGGCCTAGTCCTGTCTTCCTGGCCTTGTTAATGGAGGCTCTCCCTCGTGCCACCCCCTCCCCCCCAAGAAGAGCCAGTGCCCAAATTTTGGGAAGCGTGAAGCTGGGATGGGGAGTCTTCTCTGTGCACCCTTCCTGCTCCCCTATTGTGAGCATCCAGAGGACCAGACCCAGCCCGACTGACCCAAGTGCCCAGGTCAGGGCCTGGCACGGAGCAGGTGTCGGTTAAGTGCAGGCTGCACAGCCAGAGCTGCCATGTTGCTTGCAAGCCAGAAAGCATGCCTGGCTTCCTCTCCCTCTCCAGGAGAACCGACGTACCGACCAGTCCGAGTGAGCAGATGGATGCGGTGAGGGTGGGGGAACAAGACACAGGATGTGATTTCCTGGGTGTTCCAGTGCAGTGACTGGGAGCCTGGTCCAGGAAAGGCAGTGTTGAAGGGGGCATCACGGGAGCCAGAGCGACAGGCCCCCGTGAGCCCACCTGCCCAGAGACCAGGCCTGACCAGGAGGCAGTGTGCCAGGGCTACCCTGGAGCTGGACTTGAGGCTAGGGCTGAGTCAGGCTCTTACTTCTGATTTCTCACACGACCCCAAGAAGTGACGTGACCTGTTCTTCCATCAAAGCGGAATCTTCATTCCTACCCTGTTTAATTTTCAGCAGGGTTATTGGGAGGAATAGAAGAGAAGGTCCCGGGAAGCCCTTAGTAAGTGGCATAGCAGTATAAGGTCTAAATGTCATGCTTACACTGGCGAGGAATGGGGTGGCGACCCCCTGCCACGTGCCAAGCCCTGGGCTAGATGCGGTGTGTGTGACCTCTGGGTGCAGGCCTGGCAGGCCAGGTAACCCCGCCCTCATTTTGCCAAGGCATCATTAATGCCCCTCGAGGCCACCTGAGAGGTCAGAGCAGAGATTCCTAAGAGTCCTCCTAAACTGTGAAGCACAGCCACAGAGAGTGGGGGAAGAGGAAAGTTATTTTCCACTGTGTTGAATACAAGCAGTCCAAAACAAGATCCAACATAAAAAATGCAATTTTTATTTGTTGAATATAATTTAAAACTATAACATAAAAAGATTTCTTCATCCATAACCAGCAATCCAGATGACAACTGGAGAGGATGGGTCCTTCGCCCTGAAGAGGGCTTGATCAAAAAATAAAAATCCTGTACATCCCCTGGCCCCGCCTCCATGGTCCCCCTCAGAAAGCCCGCAGGCCACAGCAGGTGGGAGGAGGCAACAGGAGGAGAACTTTGGCTGGGGGAGGGCCCCTCTCTGCCTCTTTGGGAAAACTGACCGGGAAGCGGGAAGCCAGAGGTCACTGTGCGTTGGAGGCCTGGCTTTCGGCCACCGGCCTGGCCAAAATGAAACATCTGCTCAAGTCTCCCCAGGCACCTGGCTGGGGGCGAGTGGGAGGAAGGAATGGGGAAAACTGGTGCTGAACCACAAATTAGCACCCTGTGCCTTGGCCCTGAAATGGCCTCTGCTGGCACAGGAGGAGGGTGAGATTAAAAGTAAGTAAATAAAAGCTACACGCTTCAAGGAAGGAGGGTGACAGACCCACTGAAGCACCCTATGTCCTGGCTTGACCAGGGATGAGCCAGGGCATGATGAGGCCAATGGCATCAAAATACAAACTGTGAAGTGGGAGGAGTCGGGGAGGGCGAGGAGGGGCTGTTTGTTAAGAGGGACTACAGTGGGGATTCTGGCTGAGTGTGGGTGGGCTCACCAGTGACCCCAGTACGTTTTTTTGTGGTTTTTTTGCATAAACACGATAGAGCAAGAATTAAGATGCCCAGGCTGCCCTCTACTGGCAATTTGTGGGAATGACCACAACACAGCAGCTCTCAACCTGCAACCCAGAAGGGCCAGGAGAGAGAGAGAAGGAGCCCCCAGGGAGGATGAGGAGTGGCTACACCTCCTGCCAGGCTGAAGGCAGGGCTGGGGCCTCCTAGCAGGAGGCTGGAAGCATCCCAGGTGGTTCTAGTCTGCTGCTCCACCTCTGCCTGGCCTGCAGAGGGGCCTCTGGTGCTCACTTCAAAGGCATGGAGAAGAACTTGTTCCCAGACTTGCAGCGGACATGCTCAGTGTGCACACGCAGCAGCATCTCAGCATCTTCAAACTCATCCACCATTTCCTTAAACCAGCAGCCGGGAGAGGAGAGGCACGTTAAAGAAAATCTCGGACCCACAGGGCACTGCAAACAAAACCAGCCTGCCCAACTCCTGCAGAGGCGGAAGGACCCAAGGGCTATGCAGGCTCCAGGCTCTGCATTAGTTATCTCATCTCATCACTTCTGTAATCTTGTGACACCTGTCCTGTCATTTCAACTTTACAGATGAGGACACGGATGCTCAGAGCCCTGGGTTACAGAAACCGGTAAAAGCAGGAGCCGGACCCAGGTCTGCTGGGGCCAGAAACCAGAGCTCTTTGCCACCTCTAGCATCATCAGGCCAAGAGCGAGTGGCTTCTTGATGACAGTCCATGGGCTGTATCCAGCCTGCACATGTTTTGTTTGGCTTACTTGTTTTTTAAAAATCCGAATTAGTTTGCCAACATTTGAAAATCGGGAGATTACATATAAAAATCCGTATTTCCGGCTTCTCTCGAAAAACAGAAGTGTTAGCAATACTAGGCCCACGTTCCTGAATGGGCAAACTCCCTGCTGGCTCCCCTACTGGTGGCGGATACAGTACACTGTTCTCCTCCAAGGACACAGATGGGAAAGTGAAACATGGCACCGACTTATCAAAATATGATAGGCTCTGAGGGCTGGATGTTCCTTATACCTAGCACATTTCACTCATTTCCAGTATCTGCCAGACCCCACCCTTTGACCTCTGGGTGGGAGGCAAGGACTTCAGGGGAAGCCTGCAGCCTGCAGATCAGGGTTCTAGGACAGCGCTTCTCAAATTTTAACGTGCACATAAATCCCTAGAGATCTTGTGAAAATGCAGTTCTGATTTCTTTGGTCTGGAGTGGACCAAAGAGTCTGCATTGCTAATAAGCTCCCAGGAGCTGCAGATGCTGCCGGCCCAGGGACCACAGCTTGAGTAGCAAGGTAAAGGTGTTAGGGTCTCCGGCCATGTCATTTGCTTCCCAGGAATTCGAGTTTGGATGCCTAATCCTCCCCCTCCCAACATCCATCCCATCATTTCTGGAGTTCAGCGCCCTCTGTTCCCACCCTGGGCATTCACCTGTAGTTGCCGCAGGCACTGCCCTTCCAGCTGGAGACGTGCGTCACCCACACACCAGGCCAGGCTGATGTGGAACGAAGGGTCCTGGAGAGGAAAAGCAGGGAGGTAGGCAGTCCCTTGGCTGCCCTGCCATCGGAGGAGGTCTGTGACAGAGCTGTTGTGGTATCCCTGCTGGATCGCTGGCCGGCCGTGTGGGAGACTAGACCCTCAGTGTTGATCCCAACACCCTCCACCGACAGACAAAACAGTCTAGGGTTGGTCTTCGCTACAGAATTTGGGGTTCCCCCAAATTCATGAAGCCCTAACTAACCCCTAATGTGATAGTATTCTGGGATGGGGCCTTTGGGAGATAATTAGGGTTAGATGAAGTTGTGAGGGTGGGGTCCTTATGATGGGATTAGTGCCCTTATGAGAAAACCAGAGAACCTGTGCACTCCAATCTCTGTCTGTCTCTCTCTTCCACCACCATGTGAGGACACAGCTAGAAGGCTGCTGTCTATGAGCCCTCGCCAGAAACTAGCCATGCCGTCACTTTGATCTTGGACTTCCAGCCAGCAGAACTGTGCAAAACTAGATTGCTGTTGTCTAGGCCACCCAGTCTATGGTATTCTGCTATGGCAGCTGAGCTAAGACAGTCCTGTTCTCACAGGCTTTCCTTAAAATTATCATAGAGAGAATCTTTAAATCTGGGGACATGGAAGAAAATCCAGGCTCTTATTCTATTTTCTGGTCTAGGACTTTCTAGTAGATGCCATATTTTTCAGATGAAATGAACAAAACCCAAAATGTCTACAATTTTGAAGAAACAATAGTTACGTCCATTCAAATTCATATTTACATACCTTAACATGGTTTTAAAAAATATATCAAATAAAACTAATGGCCCTTTCAAACCTTGATAGTCAACTTAGAGTCCAGGTACCTTTGGAGGGCACTGGGCAAGATGCAGGAAGGCGTGGGAAGCTACAATCCCTCCTCCTGGAGCATCTATTTTTTTGACAACTACTTTTTTTTTTTGAGATAGAGTCTCGCTCTCTTGCCCGGGCTAGAGTACCGTGGCGTCATCCTAGCTCACAGCAACCTCAGATTCCTGGGCTCAAGCGATCCTACTGCCTCAGCCTCCCGAGTAGCTGGGACTACAGGCATGCACCACCATGCCTGGCTAATTTTTTCTACGCACGTTTTTAGTTGTCTGGCTAATTTCTTTCTATTTTTAGTAGAGACGGGGTCTCACTCTTGCTCAGGCTGGTCTAACTCCTGAGCTCAAGTGATTCACCTGCCTCGGCCTCCCAGAGTGCTAGGATTACAGGCATGAGCCACTGTGCCCGGCTGACAACTACTTCTTAAAAACATAAAAACAAACATGGATACGTTATGGGGTAGAAGGTACAAGTCTCAAGCACATGTAAGATAGAACACAAGATTTCTAAGAAATGTTGGACGTTAGGTGGGCTGCATCTGACCACACCTCAGAGCCCTCACCTCCCAGGGGCGTGTGTCCTTTGAAGGCTGGCACTGGGGACACCCCACACAGGAAAGTGCTGAAGGCTCTTCGCTTCGCCTCTCATGAGGGCTGCTTTAAGGATGGTTTTATCCCAGTTACAGATGGGCCGATGGGGAAGCAGCGGCCCTGTCCGTTACCTGGTAGAAAGTGGTAAGGCTGAACTCCTCCATGACTCTGTCCACCTCTGAAACCAGGTCCAGGAACTGGGCATGCCCTGAGGTGACCTCTAGCCCAACAAAGGTCCTGGGGAGAGGAAGAAGTGGCGACAACACGGGCATGAGACGCAGCCTCTGCGAACACAAACATCTGAGCTGCGCTAGAGGCCTGGGCCGTGAGCCCCACCCCATCTCCTCGTAAGCTCGCTTTCCTGCCCACGAGCCACCCCACTCAGTCCTCCTCTGTCCTTAAGCCTTCCTTCCCCAGTTCCAACCCACACGTCTCTCCTTCTTCCCTGCCACTGCCAAGTCTACGAACCCAGAAGTTTCTGTGTCTCTGTTCTGTCATTGCTCCTGTTGAAACCGATGCCTCTTCTCAAGGACTTTGCTTTCTGCTTCTGCTACGCCCCGCCCCGTGAGCACTGAGACATGCTCTCTCTCATCTTTAAAAACCTCCCCGAGCCCCTATCTTCAGCCAGCCCCCACTTTGTTCTCAGTAAAACTTCTCAAAAGATGATTTGTTTGCCTCTGCCATCCCGACTTTGTCACCTCCCATCTTCAACCTGCTTTGCTGGAAGTGCTCCTGTCAAAGCTGCCAATCATCTGCACGTTACCTAATCCGACAGACACTTCTCTAGCTGCATATTAACCACTGAGCAATGTCTGACGCACTTGACTCTTCCCTCCCAGAAACCTTTTCTCCCTTGGCTTCCGAGACACCACACACTACGCAGTCCTGGTCTGATCTTACCTCTGGCTCCCTGGTTCAGTCTCCCCTGCCACCCTCTCGTCTCTCCAGCCTCCCAGCCCAGAAGGCTGCAGAGCTCATTCCTCAGCCCTCTGGTCTTCGCCATCTGCACTCTCCAGCGGCCGAGCTCGCCCAGGCCCACGTTGCCACACAGGCCAATGACACGCACATTTCTACCTCTAGCTGGCCCCCTCCGGGAAACCCAATTGCATATGTGACATTTCCACCTGGGGGTGTAATAGGCAGCAACACCTAACAGCCACAAACAAACAGGTGCAAAGCAGAACTTTTGATTTTCATCCCACCCGTGTTCCTATCACAGAAAATGGGGCCAGTTGTTCAAACCCCAAACCCAACAATCAACTTTAACTCTTCCCCTTACTTCACACAAACCCAACCCACTGGTGATTCCAACTGATTCTGCCTGCAGTGCATCTCAAATGTGCCACTTCTTGGCTCTCCCACTGCCATCACCCTAAGCCAGGCTACGCACTGGTCCCTGCCCTGGATGATACCTGCCTCCTCTCTGGTTTCTCTGCATCCAGCCTTGCTGCCTTGTATCTTTTCTTCAGGCTCTGTGGTCATAGACACAGACACAGTCTAGCCACACCGACATTTACAAACACAAATCAGATCATGCCTCTCCTCTGTTCCGATCCCTCCAACGGCTTCCATTACACTGAAAATCCAAACTCCTTACTTGACCGTGAAGGCCCTGCATGAGCTAACCCTGCCCAACTCGCCTCCTGCCACTCTCCCGGGTGCCCCCCTACCCGGTTCCACCTCACTGGCCCCCTCAAACATGCCTCGGAATCACTTTGCCTGCTGTGTCCTCTGCCTGAAGCTCTTGCGGCAAAGCTCTTCCCAAGACTGGCTCCTTCTCATCCTCGGGTCACCATCAAATGCCATCTCCCTGGCCACTTTCCTGGCACCCTCCTTTGCCACCTGCTCCTGATTATTGATCGTATCACACTAGAGTTATTAACATTCTCATCTACATGCTTCTTGTCTGTCTCTCCTGCAGCCGGAGCTGTGTCTGCCTTTTCACCGCTGAATCGTTAGCACACGGCAAGTGCCGGCCCACGTGGGTGCTAACAAACTTGTGCAGCATGGAACGAACGAGCGAACGAGCCCTCCTTTCAGAAGGGAAGTGGATCAGACAGGGAGGCTCGCTTTGAAGTCTTGATAATAACAATTTCTTCTTATGTTCATCTAACACTTTAGTACTTTTAACTTTTCAAAGCCCCCTCTGGGCTCATTTGCACCTCACAGCTGCCCAGTGATGGATGAATCAAGGTGGGGCGTGTGTCGCTGTGGAAACGGCAGGTCGCAGAGGTGAAGGTACAGGCCAAAGTTGCAACTGGGGACGGAGCTGGACAGGAACAGGTTTTCTGACTTTCACAGGCTTTTTTCACTAAACCAAGATGGGTTTCTCAACTTCTGCACCTCCCCTCCCTCCTTCCCTAGTTATTTTTCTTAATGAAAGGTTCAGATTTGGGAACTTCCATCTTCGTAGTCATAGAGTTGGTTAAAAACAAACAAAAAGCTGGGGACAAACAAGTCCAGAAGCAAAGCACCCTCTCGATCTTTGCACCAAAGAATCTCCTTCAGGCAGTGACTGGGGGTGGGGAGGGAACCCACCTGGTTTTCTCTTGATTGGTATAAATCTTTACCCGGTTGGCAGTAAAGAAGAATCTGAAATTTAGAAGAAGAAAGACAATATTTCAGGAAGAAGAATAAGAAAAAAAAGCAAAAAAAAAAAGTTTGTTAAAAATAACCCTTTGAAAATATAGTTAACTATATTTATTTTATTTTCATTTTACACTTAACATTGACACCCCATTATATAGGAGGTAGACTGAACCCAGTCCAAGTGACACATAGCGGCTTCATGCAGATACTAGCAAAAATTTCACTTTGCTAATAGCCATTCATTCCAGTGAACAATTTGAGACCATCTTTACTGATGGGAACTGAGTCTTATTCATTAGGTAGGTGATAAGGGCCAATTTTTTTGTTTAAGCATGAAACAAAGTTTATCGAGGAAGTGCAAGATAGGTTTACAGAGCAAGAGCAAGATACATTTGCCACAGATGACAAACGAACCCCTCTGTCATAACGAAAGGGCAGGGCCAATTTGGTTCTTGCAAGGTTAAAAAAAGACAACTCCAATTTAGTCTAAGCAATAATGGGAACACTTCCTGGGTGTGAGGGGCTGAGCTGAAAGCTTTGTGCACATCAGCCTGTGGAATCCTCTGTAAGGCAGGCACTAGAACTATGCCCATTTTACAGACACGGAAACTGAAGCTTGGTGAAGGTGAGTTCAGTGCACCAGGATCTGAACCTCAGTCTACTTGATTTCAAAGTCCCTGCTCTCACCTATGACCCTTTAGTGAGGGGAAGTGGGTCTCTGTTGGTGTGAAATCAAGACAGAAACCCCACCCACCCAGCCCTCAGATCAGTAACAGGGACCAGTGAGGTTCAGCGAGGTTAAGTGCTTTGACTTTGGCTGGTTCTGGCTGTGTTCTGTGGGACACTAGAGATCTCAGAGGGACAGACTGACTTCCCGCTACTCCTGGGCCAACCTGGCAAGTCCCATCACAGGTAAAGATCATTTTACTCCCCCAGGCCAAGGGTCTCACCCCAATCTGAGGGAGTGTGATACACCAGCATGCTGGGTAGAGTCTTACAACTTTTCCAAGGACAGGAGCTTCTTAGGCTCCTTCTAGTACATCAATTTTTGGGAAATCGTAAGGGATGATAGAACCACCAGGAGTTTGGGTAAGTGCAGATTTTTGAAAGAGTTCTGCAAAGTGTTTACTAAAAATCCTGGAGTGGACCCTGGATGTTTGTGTCCAGCCAACACCCCTTCTCCTGTTACCCTTGTGTTGGAGGGCTGCTCTCCAACCTATGCCAGAGGCGGACGGGCACCCGACCCAGGCCTGGCCATTCGGAGCATGGCACTTCCTCAGTCGCAGCAATAGAATGGGGGGTGCACTGCCCACTCTTGGTCATCTTAGGCTCAACCAGACAATCAGACTTGAAGAGACCACACCTGGCCTGGCTTCCCTGAGGACATGGGGCAGGAAACGCTGTGTGCCAGCAGGGCAACATCAGATCCACCTCCTCAGAGGGAGCCAGTGCAATGGCCCAGGTGCCGGTCTCTGGTCCCCCAGTGAGCAAGGGAACAGCAACATATACACCCCACTGGGAACTCTAGTGATGGCCCTTGGGCAAAGTCTCTAGAGGTCCCAGCGAGGTACTTGCCCAGTGAAAGAACCACTGCATTCGGGGAAGCCCAAAGCCGTGGCTTCCCACCAGGGGCCTCGTTCACTCAGGCTTCCCAGTCCAGATGCCGGGCACCAGCCTGTCATTTTCACAAAAGTAACACAGCTGACACCTTCATCTAGGGCTCAGAGCTTCAGCAGGATAAGGGAAGCGCTCTCATGTAGAAGGGGAAAGGGTTTGTTAACTCTTCACTCACAAAGGGAGGGCACGTAAGCTGAGTCAGACCAATCTGTCATTCCCGTGACTTCTGCTGAAGCCAATCAGAAAAGAGGGCTGTCTTTCCAGGCTGGTAGACCATCAGCCTGGAGATGCCGGTGGCCTCCTTTGTCACTGTGAGAATGAAGCCACCACAGGGAGACAGAGCTGAGATGGTGAGAGTCAGGTGCCATCTGACATCTTCTGGTCACCTTGATCGACTCATGCTGAAGCCCGTGCAGCCGCTGAACCTTTCAGCGACACCAGCCTATAAATAAATTGTCCTTTGGTTTAAGCCACTTTGGGTTGGGTTTCTGGTACCTGTGGTCAAGACAGTCCTGGTAACACACATATGGCTCAGTAAGTTTGAGAGTGACAACTGAAAAAAGGAGGAGGGCTGGACTAGGTTGAAAAATGAGTTTTAGTCGGATTCTCTGGCTAATTGACTGGATTGGGATAAATTCTTTCCTCCTCTGGACCTCAGAAGGGGATTCAACTAAATGGGCAGTTTTCCAATTGGGCAGAGACATTCTACAGAATTCCAGGCCTCCTGGGCTGTGTGGGTGTGGCTTTGGCTAGAAGCTGTTTTTATCTGTCTTGCACATCTACACTTGAGGCTTCTGTGCAAGGTTGAAGATAGGTTCTGCTGATAAAAGCAGAGTCAGGAAACTACCATCTGGAGGGCTTCTTAGGCTCCTTCTAGCACCACCATTCAGAGGATCAGAGGACTCTCTGCTCTGGGTTCCCTCATTCCTGCTCAATCGCTCAACATCTGTGTGATGCCTCCAGTGAGGAGAGACCCGGGAAAAGGCTGTGGGGCAATTCGGGGAGAAGCCACAGTCCTGGCTTGGAAGCTCGGAACTTGCAGGTAATCTAATAAGTGAATGGTTTGCCTGAGTTCTGTGAGCTGTTCTAGCAAGTGACTGAACGTGAGGAGGGAGTCACAAGAACCTCTGATTTGTAGCAAAATCGGACAGAGGCTGTGGGCAAGCTGGGGACCCGACACTGCAGCTGGCATCTGAAGTGGAGGGCAGCCTTGTGGAACTGAGCCTTTAACCTACTAAGTCTTCCCAACTCTGGGTTGTTAGTGTCTGAATTGAGTTAAATCGTAGGATACCCAGTTGGTGTCTGGAGAGTTGGAGAATTGGTTGGTGTCAGAAAACCCCCCCCACATCTAGTCACAGAAGTGGTGGAAATACCGAGTGAGAGCATGCAGAAAAATAGCTGGTTTTTCCTGTGTGCCAGATAAGGAATTGGAGGTGTCAAGAGCTCGCATGGCGTGCCCAAGGTCACAAAGGATGAGATGGACAGCAGGCAGCCCCAGGAGATGTTCTGTGTTCTACCCTTGAGGTTTGGACTGCTTGCTGGGGTAACACACACCCCACACCTACCTGGCCACAGCAGCTCAGGAAAGGAGGAGGAGCCTTGGAGGGGAAGGAGCTGAGAGGCAGAGGGAGGCGCTCACCTCTGGAAGGAGGCCATGCGCTCTTTCAGAGCCTGCACGAAGGGGAGGATCCAGTGGTGGCGCAGAACCACGCTTTGGGACAGGCTGAGGTGGAAGGCCTCCATCCTCACCAGCCGGGGCACGTACGTCTGGGCGTGGGGCAGCAGCACGTCAAGCAGATCCAGGAACTCCTCCTTGGCTTCATCTGCAGGGGAAGAGTGAAGCGGGTGGGCTGGTCTCTCGGCCAAGGTGTCATGGCCAAATGAAGAAGCCCAGAAGGCAGAGAGAGGCCCGTATTACACTGGGTTTGGGAAAAAATTCCTTTGGGGAGCAGCCTATGTCTGTGTATTCCCATAATGTTTTCCTATGTATTTCTGGTTACAGAAGTCACACATGCTCATTACAAAGAATTCAAGTAAACAAGAAATATGCAGGGGACTTTTGGTTTCTGGTCCAGCATGTAAGAAGCTTGGAAGTCGCCACCTTGTCCTAACAACATACTGAAAAAGCAACTATTCTTAGCTCTATAGGAGAAGTGAGGTCGCAGGGTCAACTGCTGCCCCCCAAATCAGGGAGACCAACAGGCAGATACAGAGACTCACAGATTACCAGACCAGACTGGAAACCCACAGCTATAACCTGCAGGAACCAGGGCCATGGGGGGAAACTTGAACTATAACGGACGCATTGCCGGAGACTCGGCGTGTACAAATCTGAGAGTTAGAAACTCCAGGGGTAGCCAGTCCGGGGAACTCCTGTACTTCTGTGAGGTTTATCTTCCGGACCTCTACTAGGTTATCATACCGAATATTGGGGAACAATTCCCTTGCGTTTCTGGCAGGGGGAGAGCAAAAGGAACCGTTCTGAAGTACACGGGAACATTCTGTTTTTCTTAACAGAAAATAGTTTGTGTCCTTAAATAGGAGAAATGTTGAATCAGAGCCTAACCTGTTGGTGTTTTATTAGACCCTAACCGACATGCAGGAAGTGAAATACCCAGCTGCAGCCCCCCAGCCTTCCTGTCCCACCTAAGACAGAGAAAAAATCTGAGAAGCACGTGGAAGTTCACGGTCAGAGGCACAGACTCACCTGGAGACTGAGACCTGATCGCAGGACCACAGAAAGCCTCCCCTCACCCCCCACATCACCGTAGGCCTGTTTATAGCAGTTCCTTTTCTAGAGTGCAGCATGTCCCGCTATTAAGAAAAAATTATAGGACATACTAAAAGGGAAAAATACAGTTTGAAGAGATACAGCAAGCAACAGGACCCCTTAACAAATTTAAAAGACTAGAAATCATACAATGTCCGATCTCAGTCCACAATGGAGTTAAACTAGAAATCAGCAACAGAAAGATAACTGGAAAATCCTCAAATGCTTAGCGATTAAACAACACACTTCTAAATAACACATGGATCAAAGGAGAAATCTCAAGAGAAATTTACAAATACTTTGAACTAAATGCCATGAAAACACAACTTATCAAAACTCATGGGATGCAGTAAAAGAGGTGCTTTATTTACAGCATTGAATGCATATATTAGAACAGAAGATCTAAAATCAATCATCCAAACTTCCACCTAAGGAAATTAGAAAAAAAGAACAGCAAATTTAATCCAAAGTGAGCAGCAGAAAAAAATAATAATAAAAATTAGAGCAAAAATCAATAAAATTGAAAACAGGAAATCAATAGAGAAAAATCAACAAAACCAAAAGCTTGTTCTTTGGGGAAAAAAAAATCAATAAAATTGATAATCCTCTAGCCAGGTTAACTAAGAAAAAAAGAGAACACAAATTACTAACATCAGAAATAAAAGAAGGCACATCACTATAGATTCCCACGAACGTTAAGAGGACAATCAAGGAATATATGAATAATATATCCACAAACTTGATAACCTAGATGAATTGGAACAATACTTTGAAAGACAAAATCTGCCAAAATTCACAAAAGATAGACAATCTAAATAGGCCTGTATCTATTAAAGAAATTAAATCAATAATTAACTACTTTCCAAAAGATCAGGTCCAGATGGGTTCACTGGGGAATTCTACGAAACAGTTAAGGAAGAAATGGAACCAATTCTCTACAATCTCTTTCAGAAGATAGAAGCAGAGAGAATACTTCCTGATGTATTTTATGAGGCCAGCATTATCCTCATACCAAAATCAGACAAAGATACTATAAGAAAACTACAGACTGATATCTTTCATGGCCATAGATGCAAGATCCTCGACAAAATATTAGCAAATCGAATTCGATGATATATAAAAAGGATAATGCACCATGACTAAGTGGGATTTATCTCAAGTATGCAAGACCGGCTCGACGTTCAGAAATCAATGTAATCCGTCATATCGATAGGCTAGAGAAGAAAAAATCACATGCTCATATCAATAGATGCAGAAGGAACATTTGACAAAAATCCTATGTCCATTCATGATAAAAACTCTCAGTAAACTGAGAAGGGAACTTTATCAACTTGATAAAGAATGTCTACAAAAACCTATAGCTAATGTCATACGTAATGAGAAACTCAAAGCTTTCCCACTAAGATCAGGAATGAGGAAAAGATATCCCTTCTCACCACTGCTTTTCTTTTCTTTCTTTCTTTTTTGTTTTTAAGAGATGGGTTGCCCAGTCCTGGAGTGCAATGGAACAATCATAGCTCACTGCAGCCTCGAACTCCTGGGCTCAAGTGATCCTCCCACCTCAGCCTCCCAAGTAGCCATGCCACTAGGTCCAGTTAATTTAAACAAAAAAAATTTTTTTTAAGACAAGGGATCTTGCTATGTTACCAAGGCTGGTCTTGAACTCCCGGCCTCAAGCAATCCTCCTGCCTTAGCCTCCTGAGTAGTTGGGATTACAGGCGAGAGCCACTGTGCCTAGAACTACTTTTCAACATCACACTGGAAGTCCTAGCTAATGCAATAAGATAAGGAAACAAAAGGCACACAGATTGGAAAGGAAGAAATAAGACTGTGTTTGTTCATAGATGACATGATTGTGCAGAAAATCTAAAAGAATTGACAACAAATGATATAGCAAGATTATAGGATAGAAAGTTAATATACAAAAACCAACTGCTCAGCCAGGTGTGGTGGCTCACACCTATAATCCTAGCACTCTGGGAGGCCAAGGCAGGAGGATTGCTTCAGGTCAGGAATTCAAGACTAGCTTGAGCAAAAGTGAGACCCCGTCTCTACCAAAAACAGAAAAAAATTAGTCAGGCATGGTGGCATGCACTTGTACTTCCAGCTACTCGGGAGTCTGAGGCAGGAGGATCCCTTGAGCCCAGAAGTTTGAAGTTGCAGTGAGCTATGATGACACCACTGCACTCTAGCTGGGGCCACAGAGTGAGACTCTGTCTAAATAAATAAATAAAATAAAATACAAAAATCAAAAGCCAACTGCTTTCCTATATACCAGCAATGAAAAAGTACAATTTGAAATTAAAACATAACACCATAGCACCCCCCAAACTGAAATACTTAGGTATAAATCTAACAAAATATGTACAAGATCTATATAAGGAAAATTACAAAACTCTGATGAAAGAAATCAAAGAACTGCTAAATAAATGGAGAGATATTCCATGTTCATGAACAGGAAGAATCAATATTGTCGAGATGTCAGTTCTTCTCAACTTGACCTATAGAGTCAATGCAATCCCAATCAAAATCTCAGCAAGTTATTCTGTGATACCAACAAACTGATTCTAAGACTTATAAGGAAAGGCAAAAAACCCATAATAGCCAATACAATATTGACGGAGAAGCACAAAGTTGTAAGACTGACCCAGTCTACCCATCAAGACTTATAAAGCTACAACAATCAAGAGAATGTGGTATTGGTGAAAGAATAGACAAACAGATGAACGGAACAGAAAAGAGAGCCTAGAAACAGACCCACATAAATATAGTCAGCTGATCTTGGACAAAGGAGCAAAGGCAATACAATGTGGAAAAGACAGTCTTTTCAACAAATGGTGCTGGAACTACTGGACATCCATATGCAAAAAAATGAATCTAGACACAGACCTTACACCCTTCACAAAAATTAACTCAAAATGAATCACAGACCTAAATGAAAAACGTGAAACTATAAAACTTGTAGAAGATAACACAAGGGAAAAATCTACTTGACCTTGGGTTTGGTGATGACTTTTTAGATATGACACCAAATGCATGATCCGTGAAGGAAAGAATTGATTAGCTGGACTTCATTAAAAGTAAAAATTTCTGCTTTGTGAAAGACACTGTCGTTAAGAGAATGAAAAGACAAGCCACGGACTGGGAGAAACTGTATTTGCAAAAGACATACCTGATAAAGAATTGTTATTCAAAATTTACAAAGAACACTTAAAACTCAACAATAAGAAATCAAACAACTCAATTAAAAATGGGCCAAAGACCTTAACAGAAACCTCACCAAAGAAGATATACAGATGGCAAAAAGCATATGAAAAGATGCTCCATATCATATGTCATCAGGGAAATACAAATTAAGAAACAAGGAGATACCACTACACACCTAGTAGAATGAATAAACTCCATAAAACTGACAACACCAAATGCTGACGAGGATGCGGAGCAACAGGAACTCTCATTCACTGCTGGTGGGAATGCAAAATGATACAGCCACTGTTTGTATCAACTGATAGAGACAGTTTGGTAGTTTCTTATGAAACTAAACATACTGTTACCATATAGTTCAGCAGTCGTACTCCTTGGTATTTACTCAAAGGAGTTGAAAACCATACCCACACAAAAACCTGCCTACAGATGTCTACAGCAGCTTTATTCGTAATTGCCAAAATTTGGAAGCAACTAAGGTGTTCTTTAGTAGGTGAATGGATAAATAAACTGTGGTATATCCAGACAATGACTATTAGTGCTAAAAATAAATGAGCTATCAAGCCATGGTAAGACATGGAGGAATCTTAAATGCATATTACTAAGGAAAGAAACCAATCCGAAAATGCTACATTCTGTACGATTCCAAATATACATGACATTCTGGAAAAGGAAAAACTATGGAAATGGTAAAAAGATCAGTGGTTGCTAGGGGTTAAGGAGAAGGGAGGGATGGGCAGCGCAGGAGGATATTTAGGGCAGTGCAACTTCTCTGTATGATGCTATAATGGTGGATATATGTCTTTTTAAATTTGTCCAAACCCATAGCATGTACAGCAGCAAGTGTGAACCTTAATGCAAAGTACGGACTCCAGATGATGATGATATGTCAATGCAGGCCCATCAGTTGCAACAAATGTACCACTCTGGTGGGGGATGTTGGTAATGAGGCTGCATATGTGTGAGGGCCAGTGGTATATAGGAAATCTGTGTACCTTTTGCTCAGTTTTGCTGTGAACCTAATGCTGCTTTAAAAAATGAAGTTTATGAAAACAAAAAAAAATTAAAACATATGCAAAGGCAAAAGCTAGGGCCCCTGAAATCCCATCACCTAGAGCAGTGCGGTCTCTAAAGTATTGTGATCATATAGCCCATTAGTAAAGCAAGTTTGCACACATACATCCAATAAATATATATTTATAAATTACAAATTCATGCTTCTCTGTTAAATTATGCATGTTATAAAATGTGCACTCTCGAAAACAGAAATTTTAAAAGAGACAAAAAGAAAGGCATTTAAAAGTTTTAAATGACATACATTTTAAATGACATACATTTAAGTGACATACATCCCACTTTGAAGACCACTACCCTAGAGATAAACATGTTGGCACCTGTTTCCCCAGCTTCTTGTCAGTGCATATACTAATGTATATATATTATTTGTTTAAAAAAAATGAGAGTGTACCATTCAAACTGTTCTGCAACTAGCTTTCTACATATAACACTCTATGTTGGACATCCTTTCTCTCAGTAGAGGTCACACTCATAAGGACAGCTCCATAGGAATTCACTAATGAGAAACACCGCATTTCTTTAATCAGTCTCCTATTAATAGATATTTAGCAGGATTCCAATTTTTCGCAAAGACAAGGAACACTCCAATGATCACCCTTATATGTTCACATATTATTTGCTTTTTATCAAACATGTGATTAGAGCTGCACCGTTAACAGTCTTCTCACACCCAGCATCTTACCCAATTTGCCCAAATGCCCTGGTAAATAGGCAGTGTAGAGATTCTGATCCTTTTTCTACAGATGGGGAAATGAAGGTTCCAAGAGTTTACCTGATCTAACACACAATAGTAAGAGTCGTCACTCATTCTGTGTACTATGCTAAGAACCTGACATAGATTATCTCATTTAATCTTCACAAAAATCTAGGAGATAGGTATTACTATTATCCCTACTTCAGAGGTGAGGAAGCTGTGGCTCTGAGAAGTCCAGTAACTTACTAAAGGGCACCCAGAGTAGTGGGTAGAGGTGTGAGGTCTGATTCTGAAGCCTGGGCATTTTCTGCTTGCCACCCGCTCATCAGGTATGTGGTGGGACTTGAACCCAGAACACCCAGCACAGCCTGGGCCCTCTCAGAAATAATGTGCTAGCTACACCCTGGGATGGCCTTAACACTCTGCCCCAGAACCTCCTTGATCACCTCCTCATGAGCAGGGAAAACATTAGGAGAACAGTATACCTGGGTTAATAAAAAATATTTCAGGCAATGAGTTCAAACTGAAACCAAGGGTATAGAAAAATCCCCAATTCTTGAAACTTGCTCTCTCCCTGCTGAGTCAGTATCTTTCCCACCACCAATGTCACAGGTTCCTGGTTTCTTCTTTCTAGTTGGGACCAGATTCCTCCCTCAGGTGGCACCTATTGGTCTCGGCCACTTGCCTTTTGCACATTACTCACATGGTATGTAGACGTGGGTGGCCCAGTTGCCCCGCTCATGGGGGAAGGTGCGCACTCGTCCCCCGTGTTTTGTGCTGTCATCTTCAGGCTCCTCCTCGGTGCCCGGGAACATGTTCAGTACACTGTCAGGTACTGGAAACCTCTGACTGGGAAGGGGGCTCTGGCCACTACGAGAGAAACAGAAAACCAGCACATTTATCCTCCTCGAATTCTCTACCTTTGTACATACAACAAAAGTTGTAACCCCCTATATACTGTGACTGAGTGTGTATTTCCTGTCAGATGCTGGAAGCAGCTTCTAGATAGTCACAAAGCTGTCTCCCCAGTATTGTCTCAGTGGGGTCTCCAACAACTCTGGGAGGCAGACCTTAGCAGGGCACATAGTCCCCATGGGAAACAACTGGACAGACAGCCATTTGTAGTTCAGAGGTCACATTCCCTAGCTAGACAGGCCTGAGCTGGTGTAGCACTTTCTAGCTCTGTGATCTTGGGCAAGTCATGTCTCCTTTCTGGGCCTCAGATTCCACATTTGTGAAGTATATTTCTACCTGATAGAGCTATTGTGAGATCAACTGAGATACTGCTTGTAATGCACTCAGGAAAGATAAGATCTGGCATTTAAATACCTAAGCTCCAAGAATTAAGAGACTTCGATGGCTTTGTTCACTGCTGTTTCCAGACCCGACCCTGGCGCGGCGTGGATGCTCAAGGAATACTGGATGAATGAAAAACTCTCCATACGCTTTAGCAATTATTATTATTGCAGTTGTGTTCCAACGAGGAAACAGACCTAAGATGGCACAGTGATCTGTGCCAGGCAAGAGTGGGCCAGCGTTGGAGGCTGGACCTGAACCCGTGTCCTAACTCCCAACCTTGCCCTAGCCAGGTGGGGGCACTCTGGGGCTTTGTCCAGGGGCGTCCTCTGGATCCTCCTTTCCTCCTGCGCCCCCTTTTCCTTCCCCGGGAGCCGCCCCGCACCCCCGATCCTCAGGTCCGGTAGGGGTCTCGTGCGAATCCGCGCCCTTCCGAGAGAGACTTCCCCGCTCCTCACCGACGGCAGTCCCCAGACCCCGGCCTGGTCTGCACTCCAGCCTCGGATTCATCCTCGGAGCCGCTGCTACTGTAGCCCACCAGGGGCGCCGCACTCATGGGTCCTTGTCCGAGACTGCAGAGCCGATCCGCCCGCAACCTCACCCGGCACCCGGAGTTCCGCTGCGCCGGAAGTGCCCTCCCAGGGGCGGAGCTAGCACCGCCTCGGGGCGGGGCCGGGCGGGGCCGAGAGGGGCGGGACCGAGCAGGACAGTAGCAAAGACTCAGCCCACTGGGTCCACGCTGCCAGCATGCTCGCTGCTCGTAGGGTGCTGGTACCTGGAGCCTCCCGGAGCACCTCCCACCCACAGCCTTCGTGTGCCCATTTCACAGATCGCTCTGTCCCCTCACCTCTCTGCTGCTCTGTCTGCAGCCACTCAGGATCACACGTCCCAGACTCGATGGTCCCCGGGTCAGCGCACTGGACCCAGCAGGGATCCCTGCCCTCCGAGCTCCAAGATCAGAGGTCCCGGAGCCCCCTCCTCAAACTGGCCCAAAGTCCGAGCCTTGGGGGCCCCTCCTCCTAGAACCAAGCTGAGCAGTTAGAGGCGGGTCAATTCCAGTAGACCAGAGGATCCGGGGGCTCCTCCCCTTAGGTGCAGTCGGGCCGGGGGCGGGCCCCGGCAGCCCCCTTCCCTAGGTCCGAGCAGGTGATCGGGAGCAGAGCGCCCTCCCAAGGTTAGTCGAGGCGCCCCGGCCCTGCGACTCGAGAAAGCCCCGAGCGCCCAGCGTGTCCGACCTGGCCCGGCCGCGGGGTCCCCGGCAGGGGGCGGCCTCGCTCCGCGCGGCCCGCTCCTCCCGCAGCCCCTGCCTTCGCCGCCGCCCGAGCTGCAGCTCCTCCCCCGGCCCCGCCTCCCTGGCCCTCGCGCCGCCCGCCCGTCCGCCTGTCTCTGCAAGGCCATCAGTCCGTCTGCCCGCCCTCCCGGCGCTCCTCGCCCCGGCCCCGCTACCCTGGCCGCGCGCGTCGCTTCCTCCGTCCTGGCCGCCGCTTGCCCGTCCCCCGCCCCCGAGCCGGCCGCCGCCGCTACGCGAGGCCGGGGATTGGCAGCGCGCGTAGGCCGCGCCGCCGCTGATGGAGCCGGAATAAAGGGGCGGCCGAGAGAGCAGCTGGTCGCCACTCGCCCCGCGCCTGGCCCCGCGGGCGGCCTGGAGCAGGTGAGCGGCGGGGCGCCCGGGGCCGCGTCTGGGGGCCACTCCCGCGCCCGCCGCACCCCTTCCTCAGCCGGCCCGGCCGCCCCCCGCCCCTCCGACCCGACCCAGCAGCCTCTTGAGCTCCTGGGCGGTCCAGGCCGGGCCTGGACGCGCAGCCGCTTCCTGGGCCCGGCCTGCGGCCCTGGGGCCTTCCTCGGGCCCAGCCGCCCGGGGGGCCCGCGCTCGGGCTGCCCGGGACCTGCCGTCCCGAGCGAGGGCTGACAGGACGCAGCCCATCTGGGCCGGCGGGCAGGGCCGGCAGGAGGTGATCGGCTTTTCTCCGGTTTCCCAGGGAAGAGGAAGGTCTGGGGTGGGGCGCAGGTGGGGGCCTCCCCTACCTCCCCTCTCCTTGTCCCTCTTCCCCTTTGCCAAGTGTTCAGAGAGGCTTCCTGGCTGCACCTTCCTGGAGGAAAGCCAGGGTGGGCAGTGAGGTTGCGAGGTCGCTGGGTCTAGCAGCCATTCATGCCAGAAAAAAATGAACAAACAAAACCCCCCCAAAAACCCGAAAAACAAAAAACAGTGGTGTGGCGCAGTCCGACCTAGTGGTGCTCAGAGAAGCCCACCTTCCCCGTATCTGTCCTGGGAAGGCTTGAATAACCCAGTGGTACCTGCTTGTTCATGCAACCTGCTGCCTCCACCCAGAGCAGCCACTCCTTTCCTCCCTCCCTTCCCGGAAGATGCTGAGGATGACAGCATTTAGCCTGACTCTTCTGTTTCTTTGGCAGAACAGTTAGAGGCCAGACTGGCCTGTGAAGGCATCCCCTTCCTTCTTCCTCCGCTCAGGAGAAAACTTACAAACTTTTATATGTGAGAGGCAGATGAGCTGGGAACCTGGAAGTGGGTTGCATCTGAGTCTAAAAGTTCCTCCCTCTCGCTGGCACTACCTTATGCTGCCACAAAGTGGTGAGTTAGAGATTTGCCTGGGCTGGGTGGGCTTTACCTTCCATTCATTACCAGCATGTTACAGACTTGGAGCAGGGGAATGAGGTTGTCTGTGGAAAGGTGATGAGGAGAAACGCTGTGTGGTTAGCATGCTACATCCTACGTTACCAATGCAGACCAGTGCACTTTTTTACATTTTCCCTCAGGCCTCAATACTGTCAGATTCAGAGGATTTAGGACTTTTTTTTGTGTGTGTATGCTCTAGGACAGCAGTCCCCAACTTTTTTGGTACCAGGGACTGGTTTCATGGAAGACAATTTTTCCACATCCCAGACTGGGGATGGTGGGAGGGTGTTGTTGGGAGCGGGGGCGTACAGAGCTCAGGTGGTGATGTGCACCTGTTTCCTAACAGGCCAGGGGCCAGGGGTTGGGGACCGCAGCTCTAGGAAATGACTAAAATAAGGTAGTTCTGCCATGTGGACATTGAGGCTTGGTGGTGGGTCTGTGGACCTGTCATCTAGCCCCCATCATCCACTGGCTCAGGTCCCTGTAAGCCATCCATCCTTTTATGGTAGAGAGAGGACAGGCATGTGGCCAGGGACAGTTGAGGGGGATACGGGCCAGCCTCTCACAGGAGAGGGTTTTTGAGATGGTCCCTGGTTCTGTGTAGTTATCCTAAATATTGGCCACCAGTGGGCTCTCAGAGCTGGGAGGTCTGAGAGCTCTTCCTGTGAGCAGTGCGTCCTGGGTTGAGATTCAGGGTGGCAATGGGAGAGGAGCTGGAGGACCTCAAGGAGGCCTCTGTATTGTGGTCAGATCATCCCAGACGCTCACATGTGAGACACCTGGCTAAAGTAGGTTGGCAGGAAGCTGGAGGGGACTCGTGGAAGCTGGGATGCCCTGGCCCAGGGGTGTAGAACTGAGGTAGGTGGGAGTAGAGGCAGCTACCATCCCCTTTGGCTGGCATAGCTGAGCTGGCAGCAGACCTCTTTGGTCACAGGTGAAGGGAGCAGGTGTCCCAGCCCTGAGCACCTTTCCCTTTCCTGGTCTGGTTATGTCTGTGTGGTGCATGCTGTCAGAGCAGAGAGAGGGCCCAGGGAATGGCTGCTTGTTCCTGCCTGAAGCTCACGATTTCTCTCTTCCCTACAGAACCGATCACTGGGGAAGGCAGAGCCTCCCTGGCATTGCTGGGACCCTGCCTTGAAGAGCCCCCATGTCCTGTAGACAGAGCCTTGTAGTCTGTCTTCTTGGTTAACGACTTGGGCTGTCTGAGCAGTCCTCTTCTGTGCCTTGTCTGAGGTCCTTGTCCATCCCTGAGATCGGGCAGCTTCTCCCTCTGGGTTGGGTCACCTTAAGCGGGAAACTGAAGCCATTACTCTCCAAACCCTGTTTCATCTTCCCAAGCATGTCGGAAAGCTGGCAGCAGCCGCCACAGACACAGCCGCAGCAGCCGCAGCCACCGCAGCCGCAGCACCATGCAGAGCCACCGCCGGCCCTAGCTGAGCACACGCTGCCCCCGGGCACGGCTGAGAACCCCCTGGGCTGTGCCGTCTATGGCATCCTCCTGCAGCCCGACCCGGGCCTGCAGCCCCCACAACATGCGCCCCTGCAGGCAGCAGGCGAGCCAGGCCCCAAATGCGGTGTGTGTGGTCATGACCTGGCACACCTGTCCAGCCCACATGAGCACCAGTGCCTGGCAGGCCACGACCGCTCCTTCCAGTGCACGCAGTGTCTCAAGATCTTCCACCAGGCGACTGACCTGCTGGAACACCAGTGCGTGCAGGCTGAGCAGAAGCCTTTCGTCTGTGGTGTCTGCAAGATGGGCTTCTCGCTGCTCACCTCCCTGGCCCAGCACCACAGTGCGCACACCGGCCTGGTGAAATGCTCCATCTGTGAGAAGACCTACAAACCAGCAGAGGCAGCCGAGCCGGCCACCGCTGCCGCCCCATCGCTTCCCCCAGCACCGCAGCCGGCTGCTGTGGCCCCTGCTGAACAGGCCGACAAGCCCTACAGCTGCCCCATCTGCCAGAAGCCCTTCAAGCACCTGTCGGAGCTCTCCCGGCACGAGCGGATCCACACGGGCGAGAAGCCGTACAAGTGCACGCTGTGCGACAAGAGCTTCAGCCAGTCCTCCCACCTGGTGCACCACAAGCGCACGCACAGCTCCGAGCGGCCCTACAAGTGTGCGGTCTGCGAGAAGACCTTCAAGCACCGCTCTCACCTGGTGCGCCACATGTACGCGCACTCGGGCGAGCACCACCTGTTCCGCTGCAATGTGTGCGAGCTGCATTTCAAGGAGTCGTCGGAGCTGCTGCAACACCCGTGCACGCCGAGCGGGGAGCGGCCCTTCCGCTGCGGCGAGTGCCAGAAGGCCTTCAAGCGGCCGTCGGACCTGCGGCAGCACGAGCGCACCCACAGCGCCGAGCGGCCCTTCAAGTGCGACCTGTGCCCCATGGGCTTCAAGCAGCAGTACGCGCTCATGCGGCACCGGCGCACGCACAAGACCGAGGAGCCCTTCAAGTGCGGCCTGTGCGAGAAGGGCTTCGGGCAGCCCAGCCACCTGCTCTACCACCAGCACGTGCACACCCTCGAGACTCTCTTCAAGTGCCCCGTGTGCCAGAAGGGCTTCGACCAGTCGGCCGAGCTGCTGCGGCACAAGTGCCTGCCGGGCGCGGCCGAGCGGCCCTTCAAGTGCCCCGTGTGCAACAAGGCCTACAAGCGGGCGTCGGCCCTGCAGAAGCACCAGCTGGCCCACTGCGCGGCGGCCGAGAAGCCCCTGCGCTGCACGATGTGCGAGCGCCGCTTCTTCTCCTCGTCGGAGTTCGTGCAGCACCGCTGCGACCCAGCCCGCGAGAAGCCGCTCAAGTGCCCGGACTGCGAGAAGCGCTTCAAGTACGCGTCAGACCTGCAGCGGCACCGGCGGGTGCACACAGGCGAGAAGCCTTACAAGTGCCCCAACTGCGACAAGGCCTTCAAGCAGCGGGAGCATCTCAACAAGCACCAGGGCGTGCACGCCCGCGAGCAGCAGTTCAAGTGCGTGTGGTGCGGGGAGCGCTTCCTGGACGTGGCCCTGCTGCAGGAGCACAGCGCCCAGCACAGTGCGGCCGCCGCTGCCGCCGAGGGCGCCTACCAGGTAGCCGCCTGCTTACCCTGAGTCGGCGCCACGGTCCCTACCGGCCTGCCCTGAGTCCACGCCCTGGGCCCACCAGGCCCAGCCCAGCCAGCCCCCCACCCAGCTCGGTGTTCCTCGGCCCTGGGAGTGAGGTCAGAAGGGGACTAGGCAGGTGGAGGGTGTGGGCGCTCAGCATTCCTGGCACCAGCCTGGCAGTGGGGAGCCAGATTGCTGGGGCCGGTCCTCATTCCATAAATCTCTTTCCCATCACAGGATCTGCTTTCTTGAGAGCCGTCAGCCTCCCTTATTTCTGGAGGATTGGAACCAGGCTGGAAGTCAAGTGGTCTCTCCCTGCCCCAAGGATGGGGTGATGCCAGCCCAACCTCCCCAAATCTTTCAACATAATTAGAAACCAGATAGGTTAGAACAGAGGATGGTTATGGGAGGTCTGGGAGAAGGGCCTGGACCCCAGAGGTTGGGGGGATGTAGGGCATCAAGTTGCTGTTTGGGGGAGAAGGCCAGCTCTGTGATGTAGTCCTGGGGACCAGAAGGGCAGACCATGGGCCACAGCCCTCTGTCTGGTCCAGCCAGGGGCAGTGTGACCCCGGGTTTCTGACAGGCAGGATGGGGGTCTTTGGGCTGGGTCTGCCTGGAGCCCAGTGGGCTCAGCCAGAAGGGAAAGCAGAGAGGTTTCTGTGACACTTCAGCCAAGGGACAATGCCATCCGTGGGGAAAGGAGGAAAGGGAGCCTGCTTGTGCTGGGGGCTAATCCCACGGTTTTGGAAGCACCCTCCCACCTTTGCAGTGTGATTCCAATGTGTGGTGGGGAATGTGCTCTCAACCAGACAAAACTGCTGGTGTGAAAGGAGGGGACTGTTAGATCACCCAGGGCTGGGAGGAGGCAGGGCCTAGCCCGTGATCTTCCCAGCAGAGGCAAACGATGTCCTCTCCCTGAATTGTGTGAACCAAAGTGTCAGGGGTCAGCTTGCCTCAGCCCTGCCCCAGATCCGAGGCCAGGCCTGGGTACCCAGGGTGGGGGAACAGCCTCTGACCCCATGGTGCCTTCCTAGCCCATGGGAATACCACCCCTCCCCGCCATCATTCTGGCTGCTGGCCCAGACCCCAGGGGTCCTGTGCTGCCAAGATGTCCTGGACAACATCCTGCCACTTCAAAGGCCAGAGCATTCTTTGGGTCCTCCTAGAGTCCCCCTAGGTGTCTGGCTGCCCATAGGGCTCGTGGAGCAGAGGGTGCCCAGGGCATTTGGGGGGGGGGGCAGAAGGAGCAAGTAGGTTAAGGAAACCAGAGGTGCCTGACAGATGGATGGAGTTGACTGACATCGCTGGACAGCCAGGGTCTCCCTCGGGAAGCCGAGAAGGACCTTGAATAGCAAAATAATCATTTTGAAGCCAGCTCTGCCTCCTGCCCTCTTCCAGTGCCACCTTCCCTGGTCGTGGGTCTTGAAAGAAGACTACTCAGTGCACACCAAGGGCCCAGAGGGGCAGGGAGATGCCACCTTGCTTCTCTCGTGCTGTGAAAAGTCTGAACAGCTGTGTTTGTTCGCCTCCTCTGTCTGACTGGGTTCCCTCCTGTGCCCGCAGAGAGGGGCTGGTCCTTCCCTCGGTGCTGGCTCTCTGTCACAATGCCTCAAAAGACATGGAACCCAGGCTTATAACAGTCGCGACTGCTAATTTTTTCCTTTCATTTTGCTTTCTAAAAGCAGTTTGTTATACTATTCATATCATTGTATAGTTTAATTTCATGTCATTTTGGATCTTATATAAAAATGTGAGAATTTGGATTTTTAAAAAGAATGACTCCATTTTAGGTAGCCACTTTTGATGTTAATATATAGTGAATCCAATGTACGCTTTAGAAGTAAAGACATTGATCATCAGAGACCGAAGCACTGCTTGTCCTGGACCTTCTTCCTTAGGGGAACGATGGACATGGAGAGGCAGAGAGGTGTGCAGGCCAGAGTGGCAGTTTGGGGACTGGGACTTGGGGCTGGGTTTGAATCCTGAGCTATGAACAGCTGGCTGTGTGGCCTTGGGGTCTCTTTGGGACTCAGTCACCTCATCTGTAAAATGGGGAGGTTAACCTTGCTTTGCTCGGTGGTTGTGAGAATTAAATGGAGCCCTGCAGGTAGGCCCTGGTGGGGGATCTGCAAAGATGCTGACAGTATCAAGTGCAGGACACCCGGGACCCTCGGGGATGGGCCCGCAGCCTCGTGACCTCCTTGGGCTTTAACCGCAGCCCCAGAAGAAGGAGCTAGGCTCTGAGGGAGCAGCAGCTCAGGTTGGGCCAGAGGCTGAGGACTGGGCCCGGTGAGCACAGAGCTTGCTCAGCCCTGATGGAAAACCAAGGGCCTGCCTCCAGCAGTGGCAGACCCAGCCAGCCCTGTCCTTCCCCAGGTGGTGGCCTGCTCTGGCCCCTGGTCGCTCACCCTGTCTCACAGTGACCCTTCTGCGTGCCCAGCCCGGCCTACATGTAGTGTCCTGGTTCAGAGCACCACAGACAGACCTGGCTCGAGTCCTGCCTCTGTCACTCATTGGCTCTGAGGTTGGGCAGGTTGTTGAACCTCTCTGAGCCTCAGTGTCCTGGGTAAGGGCACAGTGAAATGACCTGTGTAAGGTGTCTGGCACTTAGTGGCCATCTGGGAAAGCAGAGCACTCGAGGTCAGAGGCAAGAGGGAGCCAGCCCAGCCCTCCCACCTGAAAGTCAGGGCTCCCACCGCCCTGACACACTCTGTTCACAAGACCTTTCCCGTCCACCTGAGCCTCGCTCTGTCCCTACGAGGCGGACAGCATAGACCTGAGTGTTTCCCTTTTGCAGACCCTTAAGAGGCCCGGGGGTTGTCCAGTGCCACGGTTAGTGCTGAAAGTGGCCTGTAACTGTGGGGGCTGGCCAGGTGAGCCTGGCACCTGCACACAGGTGAAGGAGAAGCAGTGGGGCCAGGACAGGCCTGGGCTCTGAGCCATACAGGTCCCCCTCTCCAGCCACTGAAGCGTGTGGCTCTGGCTCCAACCCACTCCTTGCTGGCCAGGAACAATGGCCAGAGCGTGTCCTGGCCCTGGGTCTGGCCAAGGGAGCAGGACGGCTTTTTAGCAGCAGGCAGATGGGGTAGCCACCCCCTCCACCTTCCTGTCAGCTCCTTGAGGAATCGAAGCCACTGTGCTCTGTCTTCCCAGATGTGCAAAGACAGGGCCATAAAGGCCTCCCAGCATGGACCAGGCTCCCCAGTGCAAGCTCCACATCCCATCCTCGAGCAGGTGGTTTCTTTGTTCCTTGAAGGTCTTGACTCCTTGAACAGCCTTGGCTGCTATTGATTTTCTCAAATCTACAAAGATTCCAGCCGGGATGCTCGGGACCTCCACAGGGCCCTGAAAAGGAGGTCAAGGGAGAGTGGGCGTGGGAGGGGCATCCCTCTTCTCTGTGTGTTTCTCCACCCAGACACTGGGTCTGTCTTCCTGCCTTTGCTGATCTGCAAGCATTGCTGAGCACCTGCTGTTTCCCGGGCACTGAGCTAGTGCTACAGGACATGAAGCAAGAAGTGCGGATGAGACAGTTTTGAGGTTTTTGTGTATAAAAAGGTAGGGCCAAAAAATGTCAAAACTGCTGACGTCTAGTACAAAATATCATATGCAAGCACCCTCCCTCCCGGCAGCTCAGAGCCTCACCCCATCCCAGCGACTCCCCCATCGCCAGCCCCAAGCCCTGAGTGAGCAAGTGTATTTTGCATGTTACTCTGTGATAAACACCACTATTACTTTGTGTTAATAGTAGGTATGTACTTTAGTCCAGATGGGCTGGTGCAGTGGCTCACGCCTGTAATCCTAGCACTTTGGGAGGCTGAGGCAGGAGGATCCTTTGAGCTCAGGAGTTTGAGACCAGTGTGAGTGAGAGCGAGACCCCGTCTCTACAAAAAATACAAAAATTAGCTGAGCATGGTGGTGTGTGCCTGTAGTCCCAGCTACTCGGAACGCTGAAGCAGGAAGATCGCTTGAGCCCAGGAGTTTGAGGTTACAGTGAGCTATGAGCCACTGCACTCTAGCCAGGGCAACAGAGCAAGACCCTGTCTCAAAACAAAACAAAAATCCAAACCAAAACAAAAATTATTTTGTCCAGATTGGTGTTTTGGTTCTGGGAAACAACAGGCCCCATTCCTGAGCTCCAGGTCCAGTTGGGGCTGGCACATGAGCCCACTGTGGACAAGAGGGTATGAGTTAGTGCCCTGAAACGGCCATGGGCCCTGTCCTTGTGGATTTGGGGAAGTGTGCAGGGAGATGTGAGGACTTGATAGAGGCCTGCCTAGAAGGAAAGGTGGGATTTGTGTAGGAGGAAGTGGGAAAGCATTTTGGGTGACAGGAGGCTTTGAACCAAGGTTCAGAGGTAGATGAGAGCCCAGAGCATTTGGAATAGCAAAGAGGCTGTCATGGGATTTGTGTTAGGGTAAAGGGCTAGGGTCGTGGATTGGGGTCAGGCCTGGAAGGCCTAGAGCTGAGGCCATGGAGGCTGGGCTGTCCCCAAGGCCATGGTTGCAGGGAAAATTTCTGATGTGGTCTATTTATAATGAGCAAAGAGCCCCCAGAGGCTGAGAGGAGGTTGACATGTGGGGAGAAAGTGGCCCAGGCTGGGTGGGGATGGGGTTTCCTTTCATCTCCTGGCCTCTGTCCTCTGACTGCAGACTCTGCCACTGCCAGCAACTCCAAGACAACTTTCTTCTGATGGACAACCTGTCTTTCCTCTAAGCCCTGGTCAGATGCTTCCACCTCCAGGAAGCCCCCTCTGGTTTCCTCCCTACTCTTGGCTTGCATCTCTCCCATAGCAGGAAGGGAGTAGAGCATGGTGGCCATAGGCCAGGGGGTCAGGCAGGCTGGCTTCAATTCTCAGCTCCACTGGCTTTGTGGTCTTGGGCCAGCCACTTAACCTCCCCAAGTCCCTTTCATCATCTGTAAAGTGGGTCTAAAATTACACATCTCATGGGGCCTGCAAAGTGCTAATGCATTGCCTTCCACTTAAAAATAGAAATTGTGCACAACATCAGGCTTGTGTATGCCTATCCTATATTTTCTTTATCCGTAGGCACATATATTTTATATTTGTGAAATCAGTATTAAGTGTATAATCAGTGGGCAAGAACCTTTAATTAAATTGCTGGTTGGGTTACCATTCATGGTGTCTTGGGCTGGAGGAACATGGTCTTCTAGGGGTGCTCACGTTCTGCTTTTGGGTTTGACTTGGCTGCCTGCACAACACACATACACACATGTCTCATGCCTCCCTGAGGGAGCATCAGGTTTATTTCTAGTTAGGATGAACCCCTGGGGAGATGGGTGGTGCCACCATATGCCCTCTGTCTGGCCAGGGGACCTGAGGTGGCACAGTCCAGCAGCCTGGAGGTCGCCTCCTTTCCACAGATTAATGCCAGGGAGTCACGTAGTTGACACGACTGTGGAGAGAAATAGGAGTGAGGTAGGGCCTCCAGGATGTCCTGGGGAAAAATCAGGCTTTCTCTAGGCCTTCCCCCCAAACCCATCTTCCTGCCCTCAAGGCTCTGAAAACACAGCTTCCATCCAGCCTCTGCGTGGCTCTAGAGCCTTCAGTGGCTCCCTATTTTCTTTTATATATTTCCAGCTGTTCTCCTTAGCTTTCAAGCCCCCTCCACTTTGAGTTTCCCTTATCCTTCTCTCCCACTGACCCCGACTGTGAACTGCTTCCCCCACTTTTCAATGATTTACTCAAGCTACTGTGTTAGGCATCATGCAGTAGTAAAACCTGGAAGCTTTCTTCTGTGTGTGCATGAGGAGGGGGAAGGCAACTTTTCATCAACAATGAGAGTGCAGTGGTCTGAGTGCTGTAAGATAGGGACCCATAGGTGGTGACCAAGGAATGTCAGCTGGTGGGAAGAAGCAGAGGGTTAGGGAAGACTTGAAGGAGAATGGGACATCTCGGCTGGGATTTGAAGAGTAAGGAGGAGTTTTCCAGGTGGAGCAGGAAAGGCCATCTAGGGGCAGAGGTGTGAGGGAGAGCTTGGTGGTGCTCCTGGGCTTGGGTGGCACCAAAGAGTCCGGTATTGCTGAAGTGTATAAAGCGGGGCTGGAGAGGTGGGAGAAGGTCCAGTTATGAAGATGATTGAATATCTTTGCACCCCCCCATTCTCATCCTCATCTTCAAGTCTTTATTTGTGGGGTGACCCTGCTGGGAACAGCAGCCCCCTCCTTTAGGACTGCATCCTAGGAGGCAGATTCTTGGTTCTTTCCGTCGCGTTTCTTAGGTCTGTTTACTCTCCTTCCAGGTAACGCCCCCTTCCTTTTGGCTTCCTCTGGGCCAAACCTCGTGGGACATACACCCCCTCCCGCCCTCATCCCCAGCCCCATGCCCAGCGGGCTGCGCATTTGCCAGACGCGGATGTCTCGGGAGCAACGCAGCTCGCGCCCCATGACATCGTCCAGGAGGGTTCCCCCTCCCTCGCCAGGCGTCGCGTGGAGCGGGGCGGGGGCGGGAGGTCTGAGAATTGGCTGAGCCCCGAGGCTGCCCCGGCGCGGCCCGTCGGGGGCGTGGCCGGCTGCGGGGCGGGGCGGGGTCATTCCCCTACCTGTAGTGGGAGCCGAAGCGGCGGAAGGTATTCCTGGGAAAGAAGGAGGCGGGTGTCCAAGGTGGGCAGGGCTCCTCTCCCAGGGCCTCGCTCTCACCTTGGGAGCCACCCCCCTCCCCCCATCCCACCTGAAGGATTACACTGCACCTTCACTCCACCTGAACGCCTCCACTCCGAGAGGGTGGAGTTGCCAGGGACAGGATGATAAGGTGCACCATTTGTTAGGAATTAAACATTAATCCATTTTGAAATTGCAATTTTCTTGTGGCGTATTGGAGTCGATTTCTCCCAGGTCTCACATTTCCAAGGGCCCGGGTGTGCACTACGAAGGCGGCAACGACCCCACCCTCCCTCCTACGGGGTCCCGAGGCGCGTGGCATCACTTACAAGGAGTCGAAAGGCAGGGGCTTCTGTCCGTAGCGGTCCAGGCTGGGGTTCTGGTTGAGGCAATACTGGGGCGGGTCACAGGGATGGGCAGCGGTGAGTGGGGAAGCATGGACCCCCCCTGCCGCCCACGCCCCACACAGAGCTCCCTGCTGGACATTTCGGCCCAGGCACTGGGAGACCCTGCTCTCGGTCTTCTCCCTCCCCACCGGGGCCCCCGCGGACCGGTCAGTGCGCGGCCCTACCCGCCAGCTCTGGGTCACTTCGGGCTTCAAGTACCGAACCGCGTAGCCGCTGAAACCCTCGACTGCGGAGAGAGCGCCTGTTCTTAGGCGCCCGACCCGCTCCAGACAAGCCCCGCCCTCCCTCATCTAGGCCCCGCCCCCAGGCCGAGCCCCGCCTCACACCTGCTCCCAGAACAGGCCCCGCCCCCACGCCCCCGCGCGCCGAAGCCCGGTCTCCAGAGCCCGCCCGCTAGTTCCAGAACCAGCCCGGCCCTCAGCCCCGGCCCCTTGGCGGCTCCACCTGGCCCAGACCTGGCCCCCGCCTCCTGCCCGGGACGAGCACCGCCTCCAGATCCCTCGCCAGGCTCAGTGCGGCCGACCGTAAGTGTCCGAGCATCTCCTCAGCCCCTCCGCCCTGCGCCTGCCGAGCCCGCAGTCCTCGCTCCCGGTGCCAGCCCCGCGGCCCACCTGCCCCGCCGTCTCCCCGGCCCGGGGCACCCTCCGTGGCCGCTACACTGACCCCTCTTGCTTGGGCAGGGTAGCTTGAACTCCCCGGCCGAGGACACCAGGCGGGACCAGTCCTCAATCGCGCGCGTGAAGCAGGGCCAGGCGACCCGGTTGATGCCCGGCGCGATGGGCGCCAGCTTTCCCTCACGGCACCTGCGGTGGAGCTTCCGGCCCGCCGCCGCGATGTCCTGCCAGGGCCATGGGGGTCAGGGCGGTGGCTGTCGGCGCGGGGGCCAGGGGAGCCGTCCCAGCGCACCCCGTGCGCCTGAGCCCGCCTGGCCCATTGGCCCATCTGACCGGTGGGGTGCCCGGAGCTGGGAACCAGCGTGGGGGGTGGTGGCAGCGGTGGGGCCCCAGATAGGCCGCGGAGGAGGTGCCCAGGGAGGACTTGGGGCTGGGTGCAGGCTGGTGCCTCTTAGGAAACGCAGGGCCAGGGACAAAGGACACTTACCAAACAATGCAGGGGTTTGTTGGGGACCCCGAGGAGTGTGAAATGGGCGTTGTCGAACTCATCTATTGAAAGAAGAGAAAGGGAGAAGAGGTGTCTCTTCCACCAGGGCTCACAGGCACACACAGGAGAGATTTGGCCCACACTGTGCTTTAAAAACTTTTGAAATATCTGATGCCTTTTAAAAATGTAAGACAAGATAGTATCCCTGTATCAGTCCTTACAACAGAATAAATTCCAAAGAGATAAAAGATTTCAATGGAAAAAACGAAACCACAGAGGTACTAGAAGAAAACATGGGCAAATTCCTTTATCATCTTGGGGTGGGGACGGCCTTAATAACCTCATGAAAAATGTAGACACTTTAAAGAAAAGATCAATAACTTTGGGTACACTAAAATAAACTTCTACATGGCAAAAACATAAAAGAAGTCAAAAGACAAATGGAAAAACATTTCCCACTTATTTTACAGATGAGAGGCAATTTCCCTAAAACATTTTCCACTTATTTTACAGATGAAAGGCAATTTCCCTAATACTGAAAGAGCACCTAGAAATCAAGACTAAAAAAAAAAGAAAAAAGGAAAAGAAAAAGAAAAACAGGTAACGACATGCATAGGTAGTTCACACACAAACACAAGACGAATAAAAATGGTCCCTAAACATATGAAAAGATGTTCACCCTCAGTTATAAAATGAATGCGTATTCAAACTACATTAAGATACCAATTTTCGCCTATCAGATTGGAAACAATCCAAAAGTTAATGCAGTTTTTGGAAATAGGGCCTTTTCAGACATTGCCAGAGTGGGTATAAATTGATTGAGACCTAGGGAGAGCAATTATCCACTGGAACTATAAATATGCACATGCCTTTTGACATTACAGTTGTACTTCTGGAAGTTCATCCCACTTTACAGTTGTACAAGTGATGATGTGGGTGGAAGGTTACCCATTTCAGTGTTGTTTGTAATAAGAACTGATTGGAAACAACTCAAATGTGTATCATTAAAGGACTGGATAATAAATTAT